AGCGATTTGAGCTTTTGCTCGATTGGCTTGGTCCAGGTCTCGATGGAGACGGGACACTGAATGTTCTGATGTTTATCAGCAATTTGGCATTCGCTCGATTGGCTTGGTCCAGGTCTCGATGGAGACGGGACGCTGAATGTTCTGAGGTTTATCAGCAATTTGAGCGTTCGCTCGATTTGGTTAGTCCAGGTCTCAATGGAGACGATAGAGTATCGGTTTGGCCGATGCACCAAAATTTGTGGCGGAACTATATATTCCAGCCACAGGGAATTTATCTCCCTATATAAATAGTGGTTCAGCGGTGTAATATTTATTAGACAGATGAATAGAACAGTGCTGAGGTGACAATTAGGAGTCCGAATGCAGCCGTCACTCGTGAGCTCCTTTATGATCAGACTACTGTCAAGGCGGATCCCTCCTCAGCTCCGACCACCCCACATCTGGGTGGTCATCCACAAAGCGGTCGCGGGGTCGCGGTAATGCGCGACAATTCTCGACTTGATCTATTTCTACATCTAGCTCCCTTTTAAAGTGCATAGTAGAAGTAGCCAACGTTCTTGACTGCTGTCGCCAAGAAAAGTGAGATTGAGAGAAGGTTTACTGAGTGATACAGCATCTAATGGTTGGGGAAAAGAAAGGACTATACCTAAAAGGTGAAATTTTTCGGCTATATTTTCGCCTCGAAGAACAAATTCGTGCCCACTGTGGGTAATCGGTGCGGAAGTTGTCGTTCAGCTGACCGACCAATCAAGCGACGAGGTGGCTACGTATTGACAACGCAGGGAAAATCGCGTTCAGCGCGACGTGAGCGATAGGCTGCTTTCAGCCTTCGATGTCCGTCCGTCCGTTCGTCCGACGCGTTGCGGTCGCGTTATGCACGCACGTAAGCCGGAAGAAGGAAGGATCAAGATCATGTTTATCCATTGGAAGGTTCTGCGGCTTGAATTACTTTCCCGCGCACGCAAATTTGAATGCAGACTTAGGCGCTGTTGCGTTGCGGTTCCCTGGCACTTTGCCAATCGTCGTATTCTGCTGTTGCTGCTAGCTCTCGACTCTTTCTTCAAACTACTTTTTCCCCGATTCTCTACTGTACTGGTTAATTCGGCATGCTGTACTAGTTTATTCGGCACCTGATCCTGAATCCGATTGTAGTATTGTTCTGCTTCTTGTGAAGGGAATCTAAACCACTCCACTACAAATTATGGTGTAGGTAAGCGAATTTTACAGGTCTTCATCTTAATATTCACACCTGTTGTGAGCACGCAGCAACACGAACCTGGTGTTGTTTCAAGATGGAGACTAAGTAGATTTTGACACTTCAAGGTTCTATTAGTTTTATGTCCATTTTTTATTTACCTGCTTCCCATTCCTCGAAAAATGGCTATTCATTTACTCTTTATTTTTCAGCGTATATATGATTGCGTACAAATTTAATTGTTCTCAAACAATTTATGTATATTCGTTCGCGTTAATGTTCATACTAGTGCGCTTATAGAATGAAGTCGAACTAGAAAAGGGGAAGCTGCAGATTTTTTGGAAATAAAACAGAAGAATTTCACTCAACCTTCATCAATCATCCTACTCCCGTTGACACTAGCTTGCTTTCTTGCTTTCTACCACGCATATCCTACAATGTGCACCTAGTCTAGAAAGAGCTCATTTCACAGGCTTTTTTTCGTGTTTTCCACAGGCCGTCGCGGAGAACATGCTTCGCGATTCTTTTGTAAGATTACGAAATGGCCTACAAAGATTATTGACTGAATATGAGTTCAGAAACTTGTTTTCCAGTTAGATACCTACTACGTTACGAAACAAGGTGTGAGATGTCATTATTTCGCATCCTGGTTTATCTTCTAAGTCCACCTCATTCACCTTTGTTTCATCTCTGACCTACTTAACCCGTTTTATATTCTCTAACCATTCGGAATGCCTTCATCTACCCTCTGGAATTGTCCGGAATGCGGGAAAACAATGATGAAGAACAATTTATATACTCATTTGCAAGTGGTACACAAGAAGTTTGTGGAGGAACTCATGGAAATTAGAGAGCAAATTAACAGAGAGGCTGGACTCGCTAAGGTAATTTGTCCCTTATTTTACGAAAGCTATACCAATTACGACGAACAGGCGCAACACTGTCGTGCGAATCATTCTGAAGATGACGCTGGAGGGCGACCTCAGAATTACTCCGCTATATCAATGAATTTTGCCAGTCGTGAGGAATACCAGGTATGTGAGTGCGGTAATCACTTAACGGAGAAACTAATCTATTGTGTTAGCTATGGTTTGCGAGAGTTTGCGAGGAAAATTGTACATCGTTCGCCAAAGTGCACACAGAAACCTTGGCTTCCTCAACCAGGGAAAGGCTACTGTGAGTTCCTTGCAGCTAATTATGCAGAAAATAAAGCATTTCCTATCACTTGTCTTGAATCAGGTGCCACCGTGCTGGTGTGCACACATCAACTGCAACACGGAGAGCTAGTCTGAGTAAGAAAGATGTTCGCCACTGTTCTTGTAATTTGGTGGTGAGTTTCAACGAAGATGGAACAGTGGCTGTGAGAGGTTGCCTTGGTCATATAGGCATGAGCTGGATCCAGCTCTGCTAATATTTTCAAGTCAGCAACGATTATACCTAAAGAATATATTAAGGTAATATAAGTCGTAATTGTAATTTATTACTCTATGCAACTTGAAATAGAACACTCCATGGATTATATTATCCATCGCTTGCGCAAAGATGATCCAATAAAATCCTCCTTCGTGGGGAAGATGGATCTACACAACATCATAAAGAAGTACCATATGCCTCCAGGATGGAGACACAACGACGATGTAACTTACCTGCGAATACGTTTTGAAGAGAATAACCCTGATGATGGGATCAGTTGCTTGGAGCTACCAAAAGACCAAAGCGGCAAGGGACTTTTGATAGGTGGGAAATGTATAAGCTAGTCATAGAGGAGATGTAGAACTCGGGCTCACACTTACTGTTCACTGGTTTCGAGGTTAGAAAGTTATTCTCCCTAACTCTCTCCAAAGCTGTACATTGTGTAGTTTGACCTAAAATTTAGTTATAATAACGCCATTAATGTTGGAATGGAGGAAAAAGTACTCTTCGAAGGGCGTGTCGCTGGACGACACGTTCAACACCACAAGATATAGCTTAAGACTAGCAACATTGATGGTCGCTGATGATAGAGACCGCGGCCTTCCAGGAGGTACGTCAGAGTGGCTGTCATGTAATTGTACTATTTTGCAAGGTGTTTCTTCTTTATAGCTTTCCTTCTAAGTGGGACAATGACAGCTAAGGATGTCCAAAGGTTATTTGAGGAGTTTAAAGCTCTGATGCCAAATTTTTCGCCCGCTACCATGGTAACAGGTGAGGCGCCCTGTTTCTTCAATGGCTTTCGCGCTGTTTTCCCAGAAGTGGACACCTTCATTTCTGCCGATTCCACATTTGGCAGACATGGGAACGCAAAACGAAGGAGCTCGTTGAGGTCAGAAGGAGTGCGATATTTGATATTGAAATGGAAACGGGGTACTATTCTACTATTACAGCCCCAAAAACTCAAAATTTTAATTTTCGATGAAACTTCGCCTATAAGGGTAATCCGATGCCCTGATAACGAATATGACCTTCATTTTTGGCGCTGGCGCCATTTGGCGCCAACTGGCGCTAGCTGGCGTCATTTGGCGCCAAATGGCGCCAGCGCCAAGAATGAATGTCATATCCGTTATCAGGACTTCAAATAACTTTTGTACACAAATTTTCAGCAAATTTGGTGAAAACACCCTTGGCGCCAAATTGGCGCCAAATGGCGCCAGCGCCAAAAGTGAAGGTTATATTCCTTTTCAGGGCATCGAATTACCCTTATGGGCGAAGTTTCATCAAAAATCAAAATTTTGAGTTCTTGGGGTTGTAATAGTAGAATAGTACCGATAACGGCACAGAAATTTAGGCTTCACTACGCCCGATGGTAAGTAGTGCCCTTCAGCGTCTGTTGAAAGTAGTGAGGCTGGCCGACTTCCAACAGCGCTTCGCGGAGATCCTTGCTTATCTCCGCACAACGAGCCAGGAGATAATGGCAGACTACCTCAAAAAACTATCTTGGTACTTGCTACAATTATAACATAATGAAGTGTCCTTAAATTAAGAGTTCAAATGCGTTCCATATCAGGAAGGATTCGCAGCTGGGCGTCATTTGCAAACAAGGGTGCCATCCTCGACACTACCATGATGAGCTTAAGATTCCATCTGAGAATTAAGGACAAGTTTCTTCACCGAAATGCCAATAGTCGCCTCGACGGTTTCGTTGACCTTCTAATAAAAGCCGTTGAGGACCTCTCCGAATCTATTGAAGTGAAGGAAAAAAAATGAGAGAAGTTGAAAAATGTAAGTGAAAATAATCCTTATCACGCCATTGTAGGACCGCCGCCGATTCACTGTTTCATTGTACAGAATGCAGGAGACTCATAAGCGGCACAGAACCGCGGTGACTTTATATGCATCGAGGCCTGATATGGTTATCGATGTAGGAGGAAACAAATGGAAGGTCCAAAATAGAGCGGTGACGAAAAGCTTTGAAGTGGCATATAAGGGGCCTTGTACATGCCACCCTACGGTGACTAGATTACTTTATAAGTTTTTCTTCCAATTTCCATTTATTAGTATGTCTGCCCAGAAAAACACGCATTGCCTTTACTGTGGAGTATGCGCTTATGCATGGAGCTGCACATGCTTGGACAACCGAAACGGAATCAGCTGTCCCTACAGGCATGCTGTTAGGATGCGACACGATGAGAGTATTTCTGTGGAAGTAGAGGGACCCTCAATAGAGAGGCCTCCAGAGCCCTATGTGGACGCGCCCACGAGCATAGCTCAAGAACGGCGTGAAGCACGTTATCAGAAGCTCAGTGCCATAGAAGGAGTGGGTGTTCTGTCAGAATCATCCAGTCAGAATATTTAAAAATACTGCAAAATTGAGACATTTTCTAGACATATGCTGTAGTAGAGGCTACCGCTACTTCGTTAGCTAGGCTTGATACGGACGAAGCGATGAACCAACTAGAGGAGATTTTGTCTTACATGGAATTAGCAGCGGGAGTTGCACACCCTTTACCATCAGGCACTTTGGCCTCTCGTTCCGAATTGACGCAAGTTGGAAGGAAGCCGCAGTTATCCAGAATCCCTCTTTATCAGGTGGCTTTATTTCCGATCAAAATAATATTCGCAGCTTTGTGTTTTCTAGTCCTCAGAGTTTTTCAGCGCGGCAAGGTGAAAAAAACGAAGAAACCCGCTCCGGACCTCCACGAGGAAGTTAGACGGCTAAGGGGTTTGCCTTCTGTGGAAGGCATTGAAGACTGAATACGATCGTGAACGAATTTTAACTACTTTACAAAGTGTAAATATCTCATGCGTGATGTCATTTACTTCATATCATATCATTATAATGAAGAGAGACATAGTTTCCTTGCACAATGCATGACGTACTGATATAAAAATTATCTTGAAGAAGTTAGCACAAATTATAATTAATAAAACTACACTTCGCAATTCGCAATCGCAATCAATATACATAGGGGAATAACGAGTGTTACCAAAGTAAGCGGTAAATGACTTGAATGAGCAAAAAAGAAATCGGCAAAACCTTAAACTTTCACAAAAACCACGAAGTCTCCTTCTTGAAACCACACCAGGTACGTGTTGCTGCATGCTCACGACAATAGGTGTGAATATCAAGACGAAACCTGCATAATTTGCTTACCTGCATCATATTTTGCATAGAGCTGTTTTNNNNTACTCAACCGCAGAAGAAGGGATTAAAAAAACCAGCATCGGATTCTAGCTCAGGTTTCGAATAAGCTAATGCAGCAGAGAACCAGGGATCAAATATATTGAAGAAAGTACCAGAAAAGAATAGCAGAATATGACGATTGGCAAAGTGCCAGGAACCGCAACGCAACAGCGCTTTAGGCTGCATTCAAATTTGCGCGCGCGGGAAAATAATCGGGAAAATAATTTAAGCCGCAGAACCTTCCAATGAATAAACACGATCAAGAATTAATCGTTGAATTCGAGAGCAGCCATAGAGGCATCGAACGCAATCTGCCTTGCGTTGTCAACACGAGGCCAGCAACGCCGTCGGTCGGTCGGCCGGCAACCGTTGAACTCTGAGAGAACCCTTGCGTGCTGTAAGGGTAAGATTTGAATTGACAATGGTTCGTTGCGGTTTTTACTGTTAAAATGTCTGCCTCTTGCAGGTGAATTCGTGTACAAAGATCACCACTCGTAAAAAATGTGATCGAAAAGAACTTCATATTAGGTGGTTCTCTTCCTTCGAGATGTTTATGTCATCTATCTTATATCCGGAAAAAAACCCAACACAGAATAAAAAAGGTTAGTTCGATTAGCACCGCTACGTTTTTTGCGACTATTCTACTAATTTGAAAATCATTGAGAAATGCCCAGGGGAAGCTAACACTAATGTCCCTACACCAAAAAGCTCCTTTGCAGAATTCGCACCTTACCCCTCCTCTTCACTCCCTTTTAAGAAGCTGAATTTCTGAATTCACTATTTTATTCATGATGCTGCACCGATCTCTTTAAGTAGGGTTCTCACTCGCTGAAGGATCTCTAGACAGTTGGCAGTAAGGCCTTGGGGCACGAGGCCATGTGGCTTAACCCTTTGACGACAGCGCGCCTTTTTGCGTGTCTGGCGCGCGGGACAGACGCATTTCGAAGCTTTCCGCTTCCGCGGCTCACCGTTGAGCCGCGCTGTCCCACGGGTTACACATTTTTCTAAAGTGAATATTTTTGCTTTTTATCATGCGTTCTTTTTATGATTCAGTTTGAAATAGGTGTAAATTGGGTAATTACGAGTTTTTAACTCTAGTTGGGTTTGATTTTATGATAATATAGCTTTGAGAGCCGAAATTTATCAGCCTGCACTGGACGATTTAGAAGGTGGTTTTGAAAGGTTATTGGCCGAACCCGAAAATAAAATTGGAGGATAAAACTTTCCAAGCTATGTTTTGAAGGTGTACATATTGGGACTAAGATTTACTCAAGATTCAGATTCAAGATTTACATCGGTAGTCAGCCCACGAGAAAGGATTCAGCAGCTGTGTTTGCTGTGGTCATGACCAATGGACGGACTTTTGAATCAAGGATACATCTCTATACCGATATCTAGTGAATGACTTATTAAAACTTAGCACCCTTTTTCCGACACTCGAAAAGGCGAAAAGGAATACTAATTTAAGTGGAAGATAGGCAGTTAAAAAAAGGGCAACTTTTCGGGAAATTTGTTACAAACAGCTAACTCGAGCTTATCGAAGCGTTTACGCTCCCACAAGACCAGTCTATCCTAGGGGCAGTAGATGTGGAAGTCATTTTTACATTCACTGTTTTCAAAAATGCACAAAAAAGTGATTTCCAGGGAGAGAATGGACTTTATTAGTAATTTTCAGTAATTAGCAATGTTCTT